AAAATATACAATCTATTTATCCTTCATAATATAGTCTTCTTAGGTGCAGTCATAACCTTTAAAGGTAGGCTTAGGATCCAACTGCTACCTCCCTAAAATTTATTTTTTTCTACATTTATAAAAACACTATCATAGAGGGCGCGATTGTCAGACTATTATTGTCTACGTAGCGAGGAGAGGAAGACCCGATGAGCTTCTCGCGGTTTAGTCCACTGAGCTACGTGATGAGAAATAGTTTGAAAGTATCCACCTCGAAACTTATATAAACATGCCATTTTTCTTTATCTTGGGCGTGATCGTCATCCTCAATGTGGGGCGTGTGTAAGGAGGAAGGTGACGCAGACTTCCTAAACAACCGAACCACACCACAGAGAGTGATTGAATGTATCCACCAGAAAAAAATATAACCGAAATTTAAGAGACTTGTCTCATGACTCCTCGAGTCGCCCCTATGGGCCTGCTCTGCAATACCTTACCATACTGTCATCGATGAGTAAAGTTATATTCGACCTGAACCGGGTATGTATTGCATTTCAAATTTGTTAATTTATGTTGAATCGCTTTTGTGTTGATAGATCGACCACCCAGGTTACTTGTTTACGGGTATGCATAGTTATGCAAAAAATTTCGCTTGAGTTTTCATCTCTTGACGATAGGGCCTCTGACTTTGTATGTTATGTATTCGAAAGGGCATAATCATCATTTCTAATGGCTCAGTACTTTGATTTGGGTGTTTATTCAGTCCACAAAAATAATTAGATGATTTAGTTGAATCGCATAAAATATAATTTTAACCTTATTTCTTAATTTTTTATATGGGATACGTGCATCTTCTCAATTATATAAGAAGTGGCGGGTAGGATGTATTTATATTAATGCGTTAATAAATAATGAGAAAAAAATAAATGCCTGTTATCCAATGGATAAACCTCATTCTACTCATCTAATTTTAAAGCAGTATCCCAACCTAATCTAATTGCTAGAGGATCGTCTACTGCCTTAGTAAAATCAAAAACCACGAATTCTCGATCCCGCAAATGCTTATCAATAATTTTAGATGCTTTTTTCGGATTATCCGTATATTGTCGCACGATTCTATGAATGTCGTCTCGGCTTCCCGCCCCTCGAAATAGTGCAAGATGGCTCAGATTTTCGCGTATGATTTTAGGTGTTTGTGTATATTTCTGTGACACATATATTGGCGAGATATTTTGATGCCGACCACTAATGAAGTAAGGAATAATTCGTTCTTGTATTTTTTTTGATTCGGCGCATAGATCCTCAAATACAACAACTGTACTTCGCTCTGGAGAGAATTTAGTTATATCTGGGATTTTATCTGGAGATACCCTTTTAAATGAGACATCTTCTCGATATGGTTTAGGCGCATTCGAAAGCTATTTTGTACAAGTTGCCATTTCGGCTCAAAGTGTTTGCCTATTAATACAAGATCATCGTTTTTGATATAACGATTTCCTTTCTTATCTTTAAACATTCGTTGTAATTTATTACCTAGCATAAGATTAATAACCATATTTGTTTTTCCGCTATTGGACCCTCCACATACCAGTAATCTGAATGGACCCTCTGGACTAAATTTGTTGTCTTTCATTCGTTCTGAGGATTTGTTTGATATTTCGTCCACTTGATAAACAAATATGGGCATGCCTTTCTCTTTCATTCTGATTGAGTTAATTATTATATTGGAAAATAAATTGCATCTGTATTCTGCTTCATATAATTTGCATTTAATCGTGAATAACTAGTCATTTATTACTTCGAAGTTTAATTTCAGGATTAAAACTTTTTATGCTTGAAATTGCATTTCTTGAAACCTGGTCGCAATATATGATATTAAGTTTTTGAAGATTGTGACGTAAATTTATAATAGCATTAATAGTTGCATCGGTAATATTACATTGTTCAAGAATAAGTTCTTGCAAATTGGGACATAATTGTAGTAATATACAAATAGATTTATCAGTTATATTGTCCCGTTCTGATACATTAAAATATTGGAGTTTGGGACATGATTCAGCAATTTTTTTTATAGATAAGTTTGTAATCTCACAACCTTCGAGACCTCTACCTTCAAAAGAAAGACTAAGTAAATTAGAATGTGAGCTTGCAATTTCTATTATTCCGCTATCGGATATACAACAACAATCGGGTAGGTGGAGATATTGAAGCTTTGGACAAGAATTGGCGATTTTTTTTAATGATTTATCAGAAATTTTATAACCACCAATATTAATATACTCTATTCTTTGACATTTTCTTGCAATTTCAATTAATGATATATCTGTAATTTGTTTACTATAACTTATATAAATATGTATTAAATTTGGACATATCGCTACAATTTCACTAATAGTTTCGTCACTGATATGCCAATATTTTCTGTTATTTTCGTATAATCTAAGATGGATCAAACTAGGATTTACAATTTTTCCTAAAGTCTTGCTAGAAAATCCATAACAACGGGTTATTATTAAATATTGCAAATTTGGACACTGATCTCGAATTTGATATAAGGTTCTATCAGATATTTTGCAACCAGAAATACAAAAATCAATTAATCTCGAAGCATAAAAGGAGTTTTGTGTGTGAATTACATGTTCGAATTTATTCCAATAAATAGATGGTTTTTTTCTACTACCGTAAAATTCAATCTCTCTCCATAATATAGGTGCAGAACACTTATACCATAATCGGTTAACAAATAAAATCGAGTATAATGTTTTGTCTTCGGCTAAATGGAGAAAGATTTCGGTCAATATTTCGGGTAAGTTTAGAGGGTGAATTTTAATATGTGTCATCAGTACTTATCTTACAAATTTATATTTTATCCTGTAAATAACCTTTTTCAATCAATGTAGTATGGATGTATGGAAGCAAATCACAATCATAGGGTATAACGATCAATGTAATATCTTCTCGCCTGCATATATCCCGCTTTTTTTGATCGTGCTTTCTTTGATTATCTAGATCATCTTGATTTTTGTGATATAAATTATTGCGATGATAGTGCTGGACACCATGGAATTCGAATGCTAATTTTAACTCTTCATTATACCCGTCTAATTGCATCCTATCTAAGAACTTAGCCCTGCATGGTGAAATTTCTTATCTAATAGATCCTCAAAAATATATCTACAGCGACGCTCATCGGTGTGATGGAAGCAAATTGGACACCATTCGAATTTTCGCTCCAGAACTTCTAATGGATACTCAAACTGATGGAGTTTATTTTCACATGACCAAAGATAAACATTCAGATCATTTATTTGCCCAGATTTTCCTAGACAATGTCCACCCCGCCTTTCAGCATATATGATGGCTTTAGCCATTTTATTAATAGCATGAATGAAATTAACAGACCCAGAACAAGTATTTTCTTCCAATATGCTCTGGGGTGGATACTGAAGTTTTTCTAGATCAATTAGCATGAGTTCCTCAAGTACAAACCCACGTGTAGGTGCGAATTCTCCATCTAAATAATATAATACTGGCTCATTCTTCATTATTACAATTTTTCAGATTTTATATAAAGAAGGGCTCCAAATTTCATCCGTTGCACATCTTTGATTTTCCATACCTCCTTCCCATTCTGCATTAGCTAGTAAGTAACGAATGGTATCTCCCTTTTTTAATTTTTCTTCATCTTTACCAACTGAACATTTATATTTTGTAGATGGTTTAGACTCTACCCTATCCAATCTAATTGCTTTC